TGGGCACAATCAGGTAGTAGAGATGGAAAAAAAGAGCAGGTTGTGCATATTTGTAGATTTCAAGCGCCAAACCTCAGCAAGGTGAACCACTATCAGCTGCCCAGTACCGAGCTGTTGGAGTGTCTAAATGGTTCTGCACTATATTCTTCATAGATTGCATATGCTGTTTTAGAGCGACACAACTGAGTTTCATTCGGAAACTTGAACATTCGAGGACGCGTTTATGGCCTTGGGGCCCGTGGCAAAGGGCATCGACCAACCAGCAACAACAACAGCAAACAGCAAACAACAAACAACAAACAACAAACGACAAACAACAAACAACAACAACAAACAACAACAAACAACAACAAACAACGAACAACAAACAGCAAACAACAAACAACAAACACACACATACACACACACACACACACACACACACACACACACACACACACACACACACACACACACACACACACACACACAGGTCTATCCATATCTGTTGAAGTTAAATACCATTCGAAGGTGGGTGCTACCGTAGATCACTCGTACAGACGTTCAGGGGTTCTTCGACCTCGTATGGTACCGCAACTGCAATTACATCCCTCGTCTCACCCGCATCACCAACCCTGCTCCCCGCACTCCAACCACAGTTGGGCAGCCCCATGGGGCCCCCAATTTGAAAGGCCCCAGGGGCCGGAGGAGGGCCCCTCGGATCTAGATGAGGACGTTAACGAACTCATTTGGACTGAGTGAGACTTCAGTCGCTCAAAGCTCCATCCGATACCTGTCGACATCTGCCAGAAACGAGCTCGAGCTCCTAGATTTCGGCAACCTTTTCTCTTTAAAACCAACGCGGCAAAGCTTGTAGGGTGGTACTCTCTTGGCAAGCCAACAACCCGGAACCACGCTAAATCCCTGCCTGCTACCCACATTGTTTCGCAAACAGATAGCAACACCAAGCACATGATAAAGGGCTCTACGAGGTGTGTCGGGTAGTAAAAGAGTTTCGACACTAACATGGCAGACACGAAACTGTTGAAATTCATCATCAATCCATGATCCCAGTTGAAGGATTTTCGAGAATGCAATAGAGGAGGAGTTGGTCGGTGGCGTTGGCTCCCCAGGGAGTACGACCTTCCCGTGAATTACACTAAAGGCATCGCCAAGGTGGTCGCTGCGGCACTCCCCCGACTCCCACTAATTAGACACTGTGTGGTGTAACTGCATTTGTGTGTTATTCTTCTGATTAATAGTACTTCTCAAGTACCCATTTGGCTGTATGTATCGCTAAGCTCTTCAGCGGCCAACAGGTGGAGCTCTAGAACCGCGACGGTGAGCTTTCTACCAGACGAAGAGTTTAGTCCCCCAAATCGGAGGAATACGTTGTCGCTCCCCCGGCATATCAGGAAAGGCCATGAAAGTGTCTCAAACGCTAACTTTTATAGGTTGTACCTGCTCCCGAACACATGTTTAATGACATATCAGTGAATTGTAGAGAGGGTCTACCGTCGAAGGGAAGTTCCTTTCGCAATTGCGTCAACGTGGAGAGTCTCTTAGTATGACCATTTCACTCCCTGTTGTAGATCGGTCACCGCAGAGGGCGTTGCCCAACTTTCCATTAATCATGTCTGGAAGTTTCATGGTTTTCCGAAAAGTATCGTCACTGCTACGTATCCAATGTTTGTTATTACCTCGTAGTGTTTATTCATTTTGAGGCGTAATACAGGCCATACGACAACCGCTGTATCACGAGGCAGACGATCAAAAGAAAGCAGGACCAGCAGACTGGTTCAGTCTGCTGGTCCTGCTTATATTTTTCATTTCAAATACTACATCGGGTGGAATTCATCAGTGGCTGGACTGTGGCTTGATTTGGATCTGGTAGGGAGCAGTCCTGCATCTGTTCCTCCTTGACATTGCCGATCTATAGGGATACCCTTGTTGGCTGACCTGGCGTTAGATCTGGCTGCCAGAAGCCAGATCCGTAAGCCCTGCACAGCTCTCTCCGGCACGGGATCGTATGAAGAAGGAGCAGACATACCAGGCTAGAAACTACGACGGAAGGCATTGAGCAGTTCTTCTCAACTTAGGCAACTTGGATTTGGTGGATGTGGACGCCGTCAGTAGAGTGCAGCAAGGTGATTAGCAGAAGTATTTTCAGGAAAATCCATTAGCCTGTACCGTTGTTCTACTTCCAACATGGGCATGTCACCACAAGCTTACGGTAGGATTTCCAAAACGGTACAGTGCTCTATTGCCGCGAGGTGCCAGCAACGTCACGGTGAAAACTCGCAACTTTAAGAGACTGATATCTTAAACACTCTTGAAACAATTCGCACTCATCCGACAAAACTAGCATATTACTCCAGATTCGCAGGAGAACTCCAACCTGAGGGCACATCTGGATATGATTGTCAAGCAGTTACTCCTCGAGAACATTCGCATACCGTCCTTGCTTCGTCAGGCACTCTTGATGGGGGTGACGTGAGCAGGGTAGCTTTGAGACCCCTCAGGTGTATCTAATCATTTGAGAATTGTTGCCGCTCGGCAATCCAGGAATCCGCATGGTCCAACTATTCCTATTGCTGTGATGCACGTCCCGACCACTAAGTCCAGCTAGCAATTTTCAACGTTGCGCATATCCGAAGCCCTTGTGTGGACAACCTGGGGCATTGGCTTGAGTCACTGCGGTGCACGGTGCTCTCAAAAAGCCCATTATTACGTTCTGTGGTCGGCTGTTTCGCAAAAGGCTCGGAGGCGCTAACCTAGCAAGCAGGACTAACCGAATAGAGAAGCAGATCAAGACAGAGTTAGTCATATTGCACAACAGGAAGTGGTATTCTATTCAGCCCCTCCAATACCAGGGGTTCACTAGTTGCGCCATGCTAGTACAGGCTAGTGCAGGCTACAAGCGGTTGGGAGGGGAAACGAAGTGGGTCGAGGAGCGGAGGCAGCGGAAGATTGCTTGTGCCACACAGCAACAGAAATAACTCACAACTCAGAGCAGCCATACTCAAGGCCGATAATTTTACACGTCGTGAACTGCTTTTACGAAGAAGTTCATGTGTAGCACTCCTTCGCGATGGTGGCAAATTCCTGCACACAAGGACCACATGAATCATTACGAGGCCCGGGTAAACAGGCTATAAAAGCAAAAGCTTTCAACGACTGTCTGCAATGTCTGTAGATACAGCCAAGACAGCTTGCTTGTGCTTGTAATTGCAAGTGTTCTGCTCCTTCACGTCCAGTGAGGAATTCATGGAATACCTCCTCCCCCGCAGCTACGAAAGTTTGAGGCGCTGTGCTCAAGACGTCTGGAGACTGAGATAGGAGATCACATGCATTTTAAAATGCCACAATCTGGACAGTTTCCCGTCCTCTAAAGCTCACAGTGTGCCTCATACCTGGTCTAAGCTCCCCGTACACTGAGACTGGGCAAACAACAGCCAAGACGCCTAAATGATAGGGTAGGAAACCAGCTGCTCTACATCAGTTAGCGTTAGTTCTTCGACTCATCTGTAGTTTGCAGCAGATTCCTTGACTCGAGTTTCAGCGACGGCTTTTTGCCGTGGCACGATAGCCATCGTTACTACTGCGGTCCTCTCTTTAGACCGAAGACGTCAGATGCAATCGTTAACACTGTAGATAATTGCTAAACACTCAATTGGTTTCTAGTAGCCTACCAGCAAGCAGGTAGAAGCATGTGCAGCAACTTCAGACAGGCCATGCTAGACTTGGCACTCGGGTGCTGATAGCAAACGAGCAAGAATGAATGGGAATGATGATACTGCTCATTTTGCGCCAATGCCAAATATTACTCTACCTGACAGAATTCAGTTAAGAAACGGAACAACAGTTACCAGCCCCGTAACATCAAAGTATACGCGGTACACTTCGCCGGCAGCACCGCGTCTCTTGCTGGTGAACACAGTATTTGCGATACCCGGGATTGGGGAGCAATTTCCGGTGTGAGGATGAGTAGATTCACCTTGGTGCTGGACCAATTGTAAGACCCAAAAGATATTTTTCAGAGCTAGAGTTGGTTTGCTTTCGGTGCAATCCCCCACTCCCCTCCCCTCGTTCTTGCCCCCAGAACAGCGCCTCCGCACACTCGATGGCGCACAGTGCTGCTTTGGCGTGCTGCCTTCTGCAGCAGATACCTCTACGGGCATCTATCGCGTTACTTTAGCTGAATTTGTCCTTTTAGTGGCTCCCTGTAGGAATCTGTGGGCGTGTTAGGCTGTATGGCTCCATTCCACTCATATTCTAGCGTCTGCCGCGGGCCCTTGGTCGCCTCCCCCTCTGCCCCTTCGCATGTCTGCGAGTGATACTTGTTTAGCTCTCTTCTTTTGATAGGGTTCTTGCTTTTGCGCTTCTGTTTCCGTTGTACCCATGCTTCAGGCCTAGGCGGGTCTTTTTTAAGTCCTTCTCTCCTCTGCCCTGCTGTGGGAGCAACAGAGCAGCAACCTCTCTAGCAGTAGCCCAGGAGCGCATTTGGCTTCGCGCCTCTATTGTGCAGCATTTGGGGGATGCTTCGTGGCATTCAAATGCGTTGTTATTATCATTCTTTAAGAGTAAATATCTCCACAGCCGCAGGATTGCAGCTGCATGGAATTTAGAGGGACGGTGGTAACGCCGATAGGTGGCTAGGTTCGCGAGAGCATCGTCAACGCATAGATGGACATTGTTTAGCATCTGTTAGGTTGTAGGATAACGGCTAATGCGTGGGCAAACGATATCTACGCTTACGCGATTCCAACGGGCCGCGGTGACCATGCACTCTCCCCTTCTCTCTCTGGGGACTGCTGTATCGTGAGGCGGCGTTCACCGGTCGGTGTTAGTAGGTCCAGTTGTTCGGTGCTACGTTGCGACGAAGGTCATACAGGTTGCTCGCTCTCTGGCACTGGGTTGGGGTAGCTGCTCCCATGCGGCTATCGGGGCATTCCGCGTTCCTCCTGCTGATAGTTTCTGGTTGAACTGACGGCGGCACGTTGTGCATCTTTGCGGTGAGGATGGAGGCTTCGGTTGTGCCTATAGTACCTCACGACGGAGCGATGAAGTGTGGCTGCACGGAAGAACAGCTGCTGATGCAGCAGGAACTACTACAGCAGCAGCAGATGCTGCAGCAGCAGCATCAGCTGCTGTTACAGCAGCAGCAGCAGCAGCAGCAGCAAGTTTTGCGACAGCAAACTGCAGTACGGGGACAGGAAATCCAGCAAGAGCAGAGGCAGAGCATGTGTAAGCAGCAGCAGGAGCATCATCAGCAGTCCCAGCAGCGGGAGCAGCAGCAGGAGCGGAGGGGCTATTCTACCTGCGGGGGAGAGGAAGGAGTGCTGCCTGCTGGGCCGCTCTTTGTTGAGAAGATGTCGTTGCTAATGGAACAGCTTGCAACCTGTGGAGACGAATCGTGTCGACGGCCGAGTGTGGCTACTCGATTCGACGTAGGTCGTTTTGCTGCCGGTGCATTATTTGTTTAAATGTGGATGTCTTTGTAGGGGCGCATGTTTCCGTCCACACATGTGGTTGTTCCCGCTTATTGCTAGTGTGTGGTTACTATGTATGTTTGCAGTCAGTTTGTCCGCCCGCCACTTCGATTGCTGCTTACATCCCGCGGCTGTATCGGCACTTCCGTTGTTCGGAGGAGGTGTTCGTCTTTGCGCTTATTTACCTCGACCGCGTCATACGCGCAAACCACATCAAAATCAACGCCCTTAACATCCACAGGCTTGTGCTCGCTGCCAGCGTCATTGGAGTCAAATTCGTGGAGGACGTGCGGTGGGACAGACACGGCGCCAGCGATACCAGCAGCAGTGTTAGTATTGGTAGACCGTTGCGCGGTGGAGGGGAGTATTGTAATGTTCATGCGATGTATGCGTGGAGGGGTTTGTTGTTTGCATCTGCAGGTACAGCAACAGATACTATGCAAGGGTGGGAGGCGTGGGCCTGACCGAGTTGAATCGCTTGGAGTTAGCATTCCTTAAACTGGTTAAGTTCGACTTGACGGTTTCAAAGGAGGAGTATGCGGTATACCGCAGCACGGTCCTCCTCGCCTGTCCCAAGCGACCCGTGTCGAACGCGCTTCCTGCAGAAACGCAGCAGCAGCAGCATCAACCGCAACAGCAGCAACAGCAGCAACGGCAGCAGCTACAACGACAGATGGGTGTGCCCGATGCAGTGTCCAGTGGAATGGACCCGCCCAACCCAGAAGCTTGTCCAAAAGACCAGCGGTCTTTCGACGTGATAACCCCTGGTCCGCAGCAGGCGCAGTCACGTGCGCTAGTGCAACAACAGCATCAACACCATCAGGAGCACCACCAGCAGCAACAGTGTTCTCGGGGCTTGGCGGCGGCGTCCACTACTTCTACAGTATCGACGACCCCAGAAGCCGGACCACCACATCCGCCAGCAGGCTCGTCCTGTGTATCTGTAGCAGTCCCAGTTGCGGCTACTGGTTTCGGTGCTGCGGGGGCAGGGGTCCCGCCTCTGCAGCATCAGCAGCAAGACAGGAACATGGGGTGCTTGCAGAGAACTGAGGTGCTTCCGCAAGATGAGGTTATGGCGCGGCCCCATCTTCAGCAGCAGTGGCAGGGCTGTGGTCTGCAGTACATAGGTGCCTACGATCAGCAGCAATGCCAATCCCTGCACCAGACTCGCCTCATGGTTGAGGCACAAATTCAGCATCAAGAGGAAGCCTCAAAGCAGCAGGGTCGGTTGTGTAGTCAAGAACGGCTAATGGAACTGCAGCAGAATCGCCAGCTGATACATGCTCAGCAGCTCTTGCTGCTGCGGGAGTACCATCAGCAGCAGCAGCTATTGATGGAACATCAACAGCAGCAGCAGTTGCTGCTTCTACGGCAGCAGCAGCAACTTCTGCTGCTTCAGGAGGGGGAGTTCATGATGAAGGATGCTGCTATGTCTCCGAGCAATAGCTTCGCGCCCACGTCTCGCTGCCACAGCAGGGATAGTCTGTCCATATGCGGGGGGTTTGGGATGGAGACGGAAGACAAAATGACGACAGCAGCTAGCGATGAAGAGCTGCAGCTAGCCAGTCCTATGAATGGCTTGAGAGACGTGCTGACCGCTGAGGTCCCCTGATGTCTGATTCGTCCCGAGCCCGTCCGTCTCCATCATCACCCAGTGCTCAACTCTATTGCTGCCCTTGGTTGTACGTCTTGCCTTCTGTTCCAGAAGACTGTTAGTTGTAATCTGCCTCGACGCCAGCAAGGCAGACCAGACAAGCATGTTGCTAATGGCACTCTCCTCGCCGCGGATCGCTCTTAACTTTTTCTTCTGTCTTGTGTTGAGTTGTGGCGCGGCGTAATGACGCCTCTGGGCACAAACTCCACAGCGCTATGATTGCCAGACGACTTGCGTGCTCGGTGTTGCCCGCCTCAGCCCATGATTTGCTTTCTCGTTGTCTAGGTGTATGTAGATGGGCTGAGGGATGGGTGCTCCCCGGGGGGGAGTAGCTCAGCAGCTGCCGTAACGTCCTCGTCTCTGATATGATGCAATTGGGTGCAGCCAGTCAGAAGGGTTTAGAATTTATTTACTATGGCGGATGTATTTGCGGTCGGTGTCAAGTCCCTGGAGCTCAATACACTATTCGTTTGGACGGCTGGACTCCAGGGAGGTTAAGCCGCACCCATGTGCGCCTCTTCTCTCCCCCATTTCCCGGGTGGCTCTCCCGTTGCCTTCTTCCTACACGCCTGCGCGTCCCGTCTTCCTGGTGCCGGCAAGATGATTGGAAATGCTCGTCGTGCGCTGGGGTAGCAGCATTTCTTCCGGTGTTCTAATTTCTCAAGCAGTCTGTCCTTTTTTCTACCCGCTCCATTCTTCCCCATCCTCCCCCCTGTCATTTTATCTTCTTCGACTGCCGACCCCACACGCCACCGCCCCATCTGTATTGGACGGATGGCGTGAGACGCGAAACTGCTCCTCCCATGTGGCTCTCCTGACCTGCCGCACTGGCTTGCAGGATTTGACACTGCTGCAGAAATATAACGGCGGAGCTATTGCGTCGTGAAGTGGCCTGACGGCTTCTGCTGGGGCCACATCCACACCTCAACAGCCTACTAAAGAACTCAATTGTACTACCGTCTCCGCCACAGAAAACCTTTTACCTTTTGGAAATCCCTGTTTCGCCACGGCGCCCTCACCCGCTCCCTGTGGGCCCTGTGTTTTCCAAAGCCGAGCCCCTTTTCATGAGGGCGCCAGCTCTGCTCAGACGGCGGTGTTCTCCCGTCGCTGTCGGGTATTTTTTTCTTCGGGCTAGCTGGAGTCAACAGTGGCCTTCTCACAACACCTCAAGGTGTTTGTTGCCGAGTTGTGTCGCCTAACTGGAGGCGGTAGTGACGGTTAAATAGGAACCCACTGGGGTTACAAGTGGGGCATCCGCCGTGTGGCTAGCTGAATACGCCCATGAGGAGGGCGGCGGTACCGTACTCCTGGAGCGGAGACGGTTCCAAGATTCTGCGCTAGTTGTAGGCGAAGCAGCTACCGGCTGCAGTTTGGGTTGTTTTCACCCAAGACTCTCAACTTCATGGTAGGCACAAGTGGGCTCAGCAACAGTACAACAGGAGCAGGAGATGTTCGGCGTGTCTCCGGGGCAAATGGCCCGTGATCTTCTGTTCATGGCTTTGTAGGCTGAGACTTGCGCCTCATACCTGTCGACTGTCGAATTCATGGCGAATTCAAGACGAGGCCTTTGTTTCGCACACCCCCTCCAATCCACAGAGGCCTGCTTATGCGGGGGTTTCTCCGTTTTTGTTGCTTTCGGCACATCCTGTCGCTTCATTGGCTACCTTGTTGTGGACAGTGTCATGCTTACCCTGTGTACCAACTGCATTCGAACAACAATGGGGTGGCTACTGCGACGATTTCCCGAGGCACGCGGCACGCTGTCGGGGGATTAAGTGTCAAGTGGATTATGACGTGAGTGCAGCTTCGCCGGTTTTTGGAGTGTAATGAGCTGTCTATATGTGTCAGAATAGCGGTGGCTATAGAGGAGCTGCTGGCTCCATGGGGGCTCCTTAGGTGATCCATACAGTTCGGATTTGCGTTGCTGTTTTGGTAGTGGCTTCGTGGTAGCGACAGACACCACTGGGCTGCAAACAGGCAGTCTGCAGTGTCTAATGGTGTCTAATGGAGCACGTAATCATGCAACGGATGGACGATTAGCTCTTGTTTAGATATCTGAAGGGAATCACTTTTGGCTAGACTGAAGTTGGCCAGGGCTACCTGCACCGTATCCTTTCTGTTAAGCACCTTGGCCAACATCCACGCATGTGTTCTTCTGGGTTGGTCGTGCGTTTTCGGTGGCAGCTTAAGTAGGTTGCGCACTGTATACTGTTGGAGGGTTATATTACTTGAGTGCTTGTTCGTGATTCGCATTAGGGGACTTATGTCAGGCAGGTTGATGAGTTGTAGCCCATCTGCAGGCGTTAAAAGGGGGTGGCAGAGTTGATGGTAGAGCGTTGTTTCAAGTTGGGTTTTTATGGGTCAGCTTGCTTCGAGTGGGCTTCTAGGGTAGGTGCAGATTGAGGACATTTGCATTTGAGACAGACCATTTGCTTGGCACTGTAGTGAGTGCCAGGGTGGCCAACTCGTCGCGTGGCGTTCGTGCTTAGCTCTTCGTTTTAACTCCCTAGGGGATTATCAATCCTGTTGACTTTGTCTCCCAGCTGTCGAGGTGCGGTCAGAGCCGTAGGATGTAGGAGGGATGCGAATGGGTGATGTATTGCCTGCGTTCATGTTAATGTGTGTGACGTTTAGGGTTAACTTTACATGAGGCCATTCTGTGACTGAACAGGTTTGCCGGTAACTGGCAACAATGGGAACTGTGCAGTCAGTCTATAATGAATGCTTTTCTTTTGAACAAAACAAATATTTTTCAAAGTTGGGTGTAAAATGTTTTCCGCTTAGGGCAGCGAGCACACTGCGGAACGGGCCGAGGTAGTTGGATAGATAATGCAGGAGCGTGCGAGCTATGTGTTCTATGATAGTATACGTGGAAAGAGGAGTTCGCAGGTTTACAGTAGTTGCGTCTGCACTCTGATTTTGTCGTACAAGTTCTGGCCATAGAGCAGGTCGATGTACACATCATCCTTCTCATTTTCCTGGTGGGACGGATAGACATAGAAGATCAGCTTGTTAACTACGGCAGGAATTGTAGCTCTCACAGATCTTACTAGTTGTGGTCTCAGTACAGGCATCCTCTGTAGTCGAGACACCTGGCATTCAAATGAGGGACGAGCTTGCATAGTAAATAACTCACTGGAGTAATTGTTAGGTTCACCCGCTCCACATAGTCACCTCGGATGTTCGCTGATTCCTTTTCGAGGGCGGCGTTTGCGCCGCCGCTGAGGCGGAGATTGAACGTCTGCGAATAATCACGAATGAAATGCACCTGTATGTTAGGTGGTTCTTATGAACCGTAGATATTCCATTTGCCTGATGGGCATTGCTGACTACGCGTGTACGCGTTGCTGGTTTGGGAACTTGGGTGATGAGTTAATAAAGGCTGTAACAAGTGGGTCGTCGCAACCTAACCTTGTCACTTTTTGAAGGATTGACGAGCAGGACGCTCTGATTTATGGGCTCCTTATTGTGGGTCTTGATGAGGTAGTACATAGTTGGGAAGATGTCGGCGTTTGCTTGCCATCTGGGAGTTGGGTTTTCGCACCCGCACGGGCTGCAGGTGGCCTGTGCGTTCTCTGGGGGCAAAGAAGCCGGTTCAATAACTGTAGGTGACGGCACAGGTGTTTGAATGCGCATGGATTCGGGGACCTCCTGCGGTTTGGGCTGCTCAAGGCTTCCAGGCGAGGGCTTGTCTTCTGTCATCTTGTTCGTTTCGTTTGCACAGGCTGAACTAGGGCTGCAGATTTGCTGAACTGCTGGGGCAGGTTGCTGAACTGGTTGTTGCTGCTGGGATGTTGCAACAGTTGGCAGGCTGCACGGAGAGAGGTCACCGTCTCCTGGCTCGTCGTGCTTCTTGCTCTTTGGCGAGAGGTGATGCAGGGAGCTTTTAAGCTTCTCTCCGAACTTTTTGAGTGGCATCTTCGTTTTTCTTATGATGGAAATAGAAAACAGAAGAGGAGGAAACTGCCTGAAACCCGCAGAGCCGAAAGCCAGGTTGAGTCAAAACACAATGCTCGTGCTGATGTGAAACGGCCCAGAACACCAAGGCTGATTAATCAAACAAAAAATTAATTGGCTGGTAATAATTGGTAAAAACAATAATCAAACGAAAGTTGCCATCTGACTGCCACCTGCGTTTCATGGGTTCGGTGTTCCGGCGGCTCGAAGCAGTGGTAGCGCACCCCAGTTGCGCCAGCGCCGAAACGGCCTTTTGCCGGCGGATCCTTATCTGTGTTTAACAAAGTGAGTGCCACACACGAAATGTGTGGATGAGTTACACGACTGAATACACAAATTTCAACCATTAAGGCCGTGGAGCATTGCTTAGTGCAAAGACTGAGAAATCAAGCGATACCTCATCCCCGTGAAACTGCATCACAAATTTCCAACGAGATTCACGCTCTACCTTAGTCTAAATATGTCCCTGATCTGGAGAACATGGATATGCTGAGTTGCCGGAAAGAAATGCACTTCTCCATTGCTCCAGGCCCCCAGCTGAGAAAATACACGACAAACCCTCTGAATCAAATTGACGCCATCTGTGGGAACTAGTCCATGCCCTGATCATCCAGTGAATGCAAATTCACTTGCATGGGTCGTAAAACTCTGCAGAACCGAACAGTCCGCCCTACACTTCATATCAATCACCTGAACTGTCAATCCCCAGCCCATGGATGCATGCATGTGGCTCAAGAATTGCTCCTCTATTGTTTCATTCCAATGTGAAGCAAGCATTGAGGCAATACAAACACTGAAAAATAACCAGTGCGAGCCTATCAAGCACAGCTATCCCGTCTGAACCAGAAAAATCCTAACAGCAGCGTCGAGTCCAGGTTCAAGCGAGAAAAGCCAAAATAGCATTACGCACTCTCACAGCTACGGTGAATTACAAAAAGAGAGCGCGGGTAAGGAAACCAATAAAGGCACCGGCTGCATGAGGTTTCGACTTAAGCCCTTCCTGTGTTAGTGAGCCTTAGGTCTTAGTGCTGTTTTCAGGGCTCGTGCCAATGAAGCGGCGTTTCCGGCGTCGCCTTCTTTCTTCAATAGTCTTCTCCATATGACACGCCCTGCGGAGTCCAAAGGGAATTGGGTACAGATCGATGTGTGCTGCGGGGTTGACAGAGTTAAATTCCCAACGAAATTCGCCTACTGCTCAATCATTAAGTCTGGATACTTTGGACGCACGAAGCTGAATTGTTCATTGTTGGTTGTGCTGAGGTAACTTCAACGTCCGCGCACAAGTCGTATAAATGTGTCGAGTCTGAGCAGATGTCTCCATTGCGTGTTCCACGTCTATCGAAATGAGGTTTCAGCTACAGACGTAAGGGGTCAAGACAACGGCTGTGTCCTGTACTAGATCCGTCTGCTCACTTGCAAAGCGTCTGAACAGAATCCGCTGTTGCCAGGCCTCCTCCCTCCCTCACGGGGTTTTTGTGGTCTGCCTCCCAGGCATAGCTTGCCGTGAGGTGGCGGGCAAGCTTTCGAATGAGTGATGGCCACGCGCGAAACTGAAGGCAACAAAGAATTCAACCCCACAACTGACGGTACAAATGAAGTTCCCCCCAACCGGAAACAAAAGTAATCCCCGTTTGCACCACAGTCAGTCTCAAGAGAAATCGGTTGTAGAAGCCGTGTGCTGGTGTCCAGGTATCCTAATACCGAAAGGAAACCATGCAGATGGCTCTCTCCGCCCTGCACGTGTGCAACGTATTAGCAAACACCAAGTTATGCAAAACCCGACACATCCATGGTGGCAAAAATGGAATGATCCAGTGCTGGAATAGTCTAAACCCAAATACGAACTTCAATTCCGTACACTCACGCTGGGGGCAAGACGCGCCACTTCCTCCTCAAGTCGCCACTGGGGCTCCCCTGCTGCGTGCAACATTTTTAAGGCCATCAACATTTCCCCACAGTCCAACCTGCAGTTACTGCAGACGCCTCGATCCTGCCGCTCCACCTAACGCAATGCATACAAGCTGAGATGCGTGTCTACCTAACGGCACCAACAGGCTGGTTACTGTTGCTCCGTTCACTGCAACAACATAGACGGCTGCGCTCTATCAAGGCACCACGCTTGCCTGCTTCCTCAGTGCCTGCCTCCTCCTCCTTGCAGTGTAGGCGTCAGAGCAGCGGCCACTGCAGGTGAGGTCTTGTTCACAGCATCGAATGAGCCAGTTTCGCTGGGAATCATTCGCAAAGTTTTGCGGAGTCGTGATAACCTCGGACCTTACAACCAGACCGCCAGGTGGTACAGACTGTGCCTGGCCTTCTTCTGCCGGCTCTGGTGGATACGTGAAAGCAGGAGAGCCCGGAGCCTCTCTGGTGTTTCCCCCTTCTAGATAAACCCCACTTGTTGTATCTAAGCCGCCTTGGGCGTCACAGGATTGGGGCTGTGACACTCGCGGGCTGTCCACCCAGGGGTGGCTGGGGCCCTCAAAAGCCTCAACACGCAAGAACGTTCGCGTTGTGCTGACGGCTGAGATAGGCTGCATGCACGATACGCACAAAACCTTCTGCAGCTCCAAAGAAAAAGGTTGCACGTGTCTAGACGTCACACTTGCCCTGCTAGCAGCCGCAGCGGGATTCGAGGTGTGGAGGACCACAGGCACCAACGCCACTCTGGAGCGGTTGGTCTCCTCTGAAAAAGACGATATTGTGCCACCTGGCGGTTCAGGGAGAGCGTTAGGTTGCTGAGACCCCTCGCGAGGCCCACACAATGAACCTGACAAGGCAGCTTGGCTTGAAAAGTAGCGCGAGTGGACACTATCACTCAGCGAGTCCTCACCTGCCTCCGATGACCCGCCATTGCTGTCCCTGATGTGCTTACTCAAGCCGCCGTCGGCGCTGCTCATACAAAGCGGGAGAGCTCCCAAATGCAGTTCTCCAGAAGCCATCTTCCCTTCAAGACAGGGGGCCCGTCGCTGTCCCTGTTGCTGCAGCTGGGTTGCTGCTGCTGACTGTAAAAGCAGGAGGGGGTCCGTAGTGTGGCGTGGCACCACTGTAGTTGCTTTACCTGTCTCCTGGTGCTCTTGAGTAGACCGTCGCCTTGGGCATTGATCCACAGGAAGGTCAGAACCTACCAAAGGGTCTACTTTCCCGCTGTTTTGCTGTGTGCGATGGCGTCGGTGCAGGTACACCTCAAGGTTCTGTACCGTCCATGCAGTCTCCCTAACTCGGCGCTGCTCAAAAGACGACAGTAACCGGAAAAGGTTCAAGTACTGCCGGGCCGCTTCCTGAATGTATCGCGCCAATTCCCCTTCGGGGTACTGACCTTGACCGGTCTGTGGATGTAGCAACAGCGGCTGCCGCGGCAGTGGCTGCCGCGGTCCTTCTCCATGCTGATCCTCCTTTCGCTTGGGGTGCTCCACAAAGGCGTATGGCGTGTTAGCTGTCCCCAGCTCCGCTGGAGTAAAGGATATGCCTAGTGGGGTAGCCGCAACACCTCGGAACACATGCACGCGATGGGTGTACCGTGAAATGCGAAACCGAAGGCCTTCAGAGAATGTCGAACGCTGCTTCATGGGCTTCAAAGATTGCCCCAAGGTGGGCCGTAGTTGCCACTGAAGTGATTGCAGTACGGCGGTGTAAGGATGCCTCTCACATTCACCACTTCCGGCAGCTGCTGTTGGTGATTTCATACGATATGGTGGATCTTGCAGGTTATTCCAGCTCCACGCACCCAGACAATTTGTGTTTGCACCCGCTGAATGGCCCTCCTGACGTTGCTGCCGCTGTTGCTGCAGTTGACCTTGCTGGCTACCGTCGCCAACCCCACACCATTCGTCATCGTGTTCTTGGCTGATCATGCTCGCTTCTTGCTGTTGTTTCAACTGTCCCTGTCTTTCCTCCTCCTGAGGATGGGCCTCACCAATATGTGACAGGTAGGCGAGTGGTCCATCTATAGTGCGCTGCACCAGAGCAGACTGATGCTTGATTCTGCGCCAGGCAGCTTCTTCGACCGTCTCAGCTTCGTGAAGGAGCTGCATGCAGCACTTCCTCAGTTCTCTCCGAAACTTTCTGCAGCTGGATGCTCTTCCCACTATTTCGAGACATGCTGGCGAGGCCTTGTGGCTGCTTGCGCTACAGCTAAGGGGGCTGCAGGAATAACGGCTCAACATAAGGTTCTCTCCCCCCTCTGCGGATGTGGTGCTTGCCTGCAGATGTTCCCCCTCGGCCTCTACGGGTCCTCCTACACTGTCCCCAGAGGCGGGGCTAGAACTGTAGCCAGATTCGTGAGAAAAGACACTTCCCGAAGCTGCTGAAGAGGGGCCACAACGGCTTAGAAGGAAATATGTTGTCACTACCCGCCGCTGACCCCGACGGTGCAGCCGCGACTCTGCCTGCAAGAGCTCATGCTGCTGCGGAAGCAACTCCAGGAAGATACAAACAGACGCTCCAGAAAAATCCAACTGCAGCAGAAGGCACACGCAATAAGCACAGCAGCGCACAACAGGCTGTTTGTCTTGATGCTGTTGCTGCCACTGATTTTTCCAAAGGTTCCCCAGTGGCTTGACCACAGCACCACCAGCAACAGAAGCTAACCGCAACAGGTTCAGTTGATGGGAAGCGTCTGGACGACAACCTCTAAGCTCTAACACCCCTGCAGGCGCACCCCGTGAGAAGAAGCAGTGATGGAAATAAGTGCCAGCGTGCATGCAGGATCGTTAAGAAAGAGGCGGCGGCGCCTCCTCCTCTCCTCCTCAGGCACAGTACCATCAATGCGCACGAAACCCTGGCGTCTACGACTCCCGCCCGTACGTGCGTGTCCCGTGGAGTTCATACACCCAAACCGTAGTTCCCGGAGACGAGCTGCCAAAGCATCTAATACTCGCCGGTGGTGAGCGAAGACCACGACTTTAGGGGGTGCGTCTGCAGAAACATCGCCGAGACCACAAAGCCAAGCATTAACGGTGTGGGGTGGCGGGGTTTTCTCACATCCCACTACTTCCACTGGCTTCTTGAGGAAAGCCAAACACAATTAGGCTCCCTCTCGTCTGCGTTCCGCTGCCCTGTCCCTCTCTACTCGCAAGAGCCATTAGTGGGTCGCTTTCGCAGACACCGCCCATTACAGGGGCGTTATTGTAGCGTGGGTCGATTACTATTGCATGCACGCGTGCGATTCGATAAGGAACGTCATCTGCGTCCACACATGTAAAAATGGCCTCTCGAACTCCAAAAGGTACGGGGTTTATTACGCGCGAACCTTCCGTGTCGTCGTCGGGCCAGGGTGAGGCAGATGCGTCTCTCAAGAACTTCTCGTGCAGCCAATCCGCAGCGGACAAAACTTTGCAGAGGCCCGCGCGTTCAGCTGGAGTTGCGGGAGGCCGCCGTGTCAAGTGGGAAGCAACCGCCGCTATATCAGAGGATACGCAGGGCCCCTGCACTGCACAACACACACAAACGCAGACAGGCAAGGAGACGTCTAGGTAGGTCAGCTTCGTGCATGATACATGCATGCAAATTGCTAGGAGTCCGGAAAAGCCAGCTATAGGGTAGGATACGTGCCCAACTGAAGGCAGTGAGAACACGCCAATACTGTGAAGGGCAGGCGCCCATTTGGTCTGGTGGAAACAGAAACGAATTCACAGGAAACAAAGGGTTCAAGAGTGTCTGAATGGGAAGGAGAAAGCAACAATGGATGAGGCATTCGTTATGACAGAGGCAAAAGAGAAGAAACTCAAGAGAAAGAGCAAGGATGACGTACTGCCGAAGCCAAACTCGCTGTCGCCGCTGCTGCCGTCTGAGGAGCCTGCATCAGCCCTTTCCACTTCTCGAAGCAATGAGCGGTACGCCGGTTTTCGTAGCACCAAGCCTTCTCCCATGGCAGTTAGCAGTTTGTTGTTGCAGTGGAGCAGCAGCAGCTGCACAATTCGCGTGCATGGAGGTAGCACGAGAGCGTCACCGTCCCCCGGGACGTGGGAAGCCCAAGGCAGTCCCTCCACAAGGTGTTCCACTTCCTGCACCGAGAAGCGCGGACCCTCAAGAGCCGACAAGGAGACTGCTGCCAAGGCATCCTCAGGCTTAGCTGGTGGAGCGGCTGGCTTCAAATTCGATGAAAGCCCCTTCGAAGGGGCTTCTTTGGCCCCCATGGGCGCATTTGCAGCTTCGTGGTCCCCAACCGGCGCGTGGGAAGGCTCCGTTTCCACTTCAACCTGTTGTTGTTTGTGCTGTATGCAGTGGCACGCAAAAGGCCCGCGACTGGGCAGATTTAGTTTCCCTTGAGAAATATCCTTGCATGGAACCTGATGAGATTCTTGGGAGGGGACTTGGAGGGTCCCCCCATGGGGACCCGTTCGGGCCGGATTTCTGAGGGTCTTTCTTCTGCGTACGAGGACGGCTCGCGTAAGGAGCAAGTGCAGCTCCCAACTTCGGAGAGAAGCCCCAAATCTTCTCCATGAGCCAAAGGCTCGCGAAGAACAGCAGTACTCTTCTGAGTCTCAGTGAACACAGGGCAGCCCCGCAATGCGCCTTAAAGGCGAACTCATGGAAGGACTGCACGAGCCCCAATAATTCAATGCACAACCACGACGAAAAGCCGCTCATGAGGTGGACATTCTACAGCTTTGGTCAATCATCTGCATCAAGTGCAACAACCATGACAAAGCGCTGGCATCGTGAGCATCAGGAACAACAGTACTAGCAACGGAAGGTAAGCCCGGACAGCCTCACCAGCAAACTGCAGTCGTTCCTCTCTTAGTATATTGCCAACGCGTTGCCGAGCCTGCCCCCCGTTTGCAAACGAACCCAAACAGTCCTTGTCGCGTGGTTGATGGTCGGGGCAGACACCTGTGCCGAAAGGCTCTCCAAAAGCCTCAGGTGCAGCCCCTGCGAACTTTGCTGCTGCTCGTGCTGCTGCTGAAGCTGTTCTCCACGCCGTTGTTCCCTCCGACCACGGAGACCGGACAATTCCACTACCGGAGAAAACACCCTTTGTTTGTTCTGCTTCTGTCCATCCGTCCCCCGATAGGTCCGCCTCCAAAATTGGAGCAGCACCAGCAACACCAGGGGGCACCGCTGCCGCAGCAGCTGCCAGTTCAAGTGCCCTCCACTGCTGCAGCTGTTGCTGCCTCCTTTCCGCTAATGTCACCTGCTCTAATGGCGGCAGCAGAGCATCTACTAGCGGAAACAGGTCCGCCGGAAGCTTCACAGAAGGAGTGCCTGAAAGGAGCAGCGCGTGACGGCTGCCTTTCACGAGGTCTAGTACCTTCTTGTTCACCTCCTGGCCGCTGTCCGGCAGCCTACATTTCCTCTGCTGTCGGGAAAAACGCTTTTGTGGTTGCTGGCAGTGCTTCTGGGGTTGCGGGGAATTTGGAAAATATACGGACTCGCTGCTGGGATCAACGCCAGGAGACGACGTGGCAGCAAGGGCACTATCACCTTCTACACTGTGTGGAAGTGTTGTTGTTTCTGTTGCAGTTTCCTGTGTGGCCGTTAATGCTGCTGCTGCTTCTGAGGCCGTGTAGGGCGCAGGCCGTGGAATTGCAGGGCCTCTGAGCTTGTGGGCCTCGTCCACAATCACAAACTTGTACTGCGTAGCCTTGAGGGTGTCGTATAGCCTGGCTGCCATCTCAAAAGAAGACAAACAGATCAAATGTTGCTCCCCTGGAGCTGGGCGATCCCCACTGGCAAACAAAACCCGCAAACTCGGTGGCCCGCTGTATTCCGGAAGCCACTCCTCCAGCGCGTCGGCCCAGGCTAAGCGCATGGACGCAGGTACCTATGGCAGCAGCAGCAAACACGGCAGCAACAACCAATGTAGCAACGTGACAACAGCATCACAGGTACACCATTTACGCCATTTACAAAAGCCTCAACATTCTTCCAAATGGCTAAGGGTAGTTTAGTGCCGGGGAATACCGTAAACGCACAACTATAAGGCACGGGAACTGGCGGTACACTGCAATACATGCAATTGCCTGCACTGTCTTCCCAAGCCCCATTTCATCGCCTATTATCGCACGACCTCCCCGTTGCAACGCGTAGGCGAGACCTTCCCACTGGAAAGGCAGCAGATGCTGCCGCAAACGAGAAGGCAGCAGCCACCAGGCAACGTCCAGCGCTCTCTACAGGCACAAATGGCTCGTGGAGAACACAAAAATGCCACAGCAATCGCAGCACCTCTCCCTGTTTCACTAGCAACATTGCAGCGCCCAAGTAGGGTTTGGAAGGCAAACAGAATTATTACAGCCAGAGGGATCAACGAAAAGCCCACACGACAGGCACCGCCACAGACCCAGCAGTAGAAGTAGCTCTCGTAGCTGCAGAGCCATGAAAACACCCGTAGCAACTGAGGCGAAGCCCCAGCAACCAAGCAAGACAGCAGAATGGCGCAGCAGAACAGAATCAGTAGGAGAGTGCACCAGCAGTAGAACCAGGCTGTCTTACTTCCTTTGAAGTGATGAGAAATCTTCCCGACCCCCAGACCTCCTTAAAAAAACGGAGGGTGAGAGAGGGGATGGGAGTTATGGCTGCCCAGCCACAAACAGAGGCCACCGCCTGTAAGACAAACGGATAAGCTGCCAAAGAAAAGACACAACCATCGTTGTACTTCAGCCCGTCTGCAGGCGCCTGCAGAGACCCCTTTGACCAATCTACAAAACGCAAACGCCTCCGAGTTGCAGCGCGCTCTAGCTCAAACACGCTTCCTGCAGCAGCAACCCCAGAAGTATCCGCGGGGACTTTTGCTTCTGCACCAGTGCCACCACCAGTAGATCCCGCAGTTCGAGCATCAGCATCACCCACATAAGCAGCCTTAGTACCAGCAGCAGCTGCTTCTGCTTCCTCTAGTCCACACACAGCGGTGCACTGAACACTAACGGCATGCGCCATAGCAGCATCGCTGAATTGCCTCAGCAGCGACTCATCTGACTTGATGCGATCGCTCCGCGGCAACCAAGAAAGAGGCCGCAGGAAGTCTGGAATTCTGAAGTTATCCTCCTGTTGTTGCTTGCCCTCCTGGCATCCCTGCTGCTCTCTAGCATAGACCTTTGCAGCCGTTTGAATGATGCGGGGTAGAGCGTCTGCCAGCATCATACCAGTGTCTGTACAGCCAGCTGCATGTAGTCTGAAGGCATGTGGAGCCTCAAGCTCACAGAAGACACGGATGCCGCTGCTGCTGCTGCTGTTTCCTGTGCAGGACCGCCACCTCTCTACTTTTGAACCACTCACTTTACCCCGACACTCCGGGTACCGCGAGCACCCCAAAAACATGCCTGAAACAGGCAGCATAAGCAAATCCACCAAATCCACCAATACCACCAAACGTGAGTACTGTATTACAAACGCTGCAACAGCACTAGCAGGACCAACATCACCAGCAGCAACAGCAGAAGCAACAACGGGGGAACGAGGATAATGTCGCTCCAAGGAAACGTGTAGGTGACTCGAACTAAATGCAAAGCCCGCGCAGTCTTGAGCTGCCTACCGTAACGGCCCGAACGGAAGGTCATGCTGAATTGGTGGCAGAGGGGACACCTGAAGGCAGCAGCAACTTCTGTACTGCTCAACCCTCGCCTTCTTTCCGCCTCCTCCAACCACTCGAGAGACACCCGGACCCCAGGACTCAACTCCGATTCCCTCTGCAACTCGGTCGCACTCTCCAAGCCGCTTTTGTTGCCGCTACTGCAGCCACCGGTAGTGCTGGTGCGGTTTCTACTACCATGCTGGCACATGGCGACTGTGCTGCCGCCGCCCTCTACGGTGCTGCTGGTGCTGCTCGAACGGCTGCAGACGCTTCTTGTGGCCAGAGGAGTGCTGCTCCTGTGGATTGCGACGACTCTTTTTGCTGGCTTTTGTGGGGTAATCCTTTGGGGGGTCTTCGGCGCATTGAAGGCGAAGACATCAAATGAACACAAAAGATTGTCAGTAGCTCCACCTGCCCCACACACTGACCGTTCGGTATGGTGCTGCAGCTGGGGCTGCTGCATTTGTGGATTCTTGGGTCCCATTTGCTGCTGCTGCTTCTGTTTGGCGGCATCTGCTACAATTGCAGCAGTGGAGGGATTCTGCAAACCCGTTGGATTGTTAGGCGTCATGATTGCTGCTGAGGAGGCCCTGAGGAGTGCTGCTGCTGCGAATGCGCCTGCTCATCGAGCCCTTGAGGAAGAGCAGAGATATGCAGAATCCACATAGGAAGTCCCAGCTGCCCCTGCAACAGCTTGGGAGGCCGCTGAGGCACCGCAACATCGCGAGTAATTTTGACTACATCCGCGTGCAGTCAGCGTTGCTGGTGGTATCTTGTGGCCGTGCTTCCAACCTCAGGTGGTGATGTGCATACCAAAATGAAGCAGTATGTGTAAAGCTTCATTTTAAGACACCTAGTCCCCAATAAGAGCAGGTAAAAGATGGGAGGACATGCATGGAGCCTGAATGCCAGCCGGCAGGGATGCGGCGAATACCAGACGGGGGCCACACAGACAATTACCCTTAATCGGCATTCAACGATATTTTTCCAGACTCGAATTAATATTTCTGCACTAGTGAGTATTTGCTGGGTTGAGGAAGAGGCGGTGGTCCGCCGCACACCCTGGCGGAAGAAGCCGGGTAGACCAGGGGACCGCACAATTCATGTGCCACTTAAGCAAAACGGTGAATTTTAAACTATTTAAATAGCAAACGCCGTCATAATTATTTATCCACGCATGCACGAATTACAAGAAGACAGTTGAGGTGGAGTTTGTGTGCTCGAGCTTACCTCCGATCGATGGTGTCGCTGTTTCCCTTACGTCTCCGTAGAAGATTACGCTTAAATGCTGATTTTGTCTGAAGGTTTATTTGTGTGTGTTCAGTATAATCGCCACACAAATACATTTTGGGGGCGAATTCGCTTTGGATTAGTCCATGGGAAAACCCCGTTTGAGTAGGTGAGTTTGCTTTTGAGGGACTCGAGGCGTGGCAGGGTTGATAATGTTGCGTTGGTTGAGAGAGAGATAGATACGGGAAAGAAATGTATATAAAGGCACATATAGAAACAAATGATGCTTGAAAGGTGCAGGCAAAGACGATAACGTAAGAACAATGCAGATTCTCACTCACCCTAGAGGGGAGAGAATGCATCCACCTGTCTAGAACTGCACGCTTGTGTGTGCTGAGGAACTCGACGACAGTCGAGCGTGACTGGTTTTTGTTAGTTGCTACTGTATCCTTACTATACAGGCATTAATTCGTTTTAGCCGGTGAGGAGGGGGTGGCCAGGAAGGTCTGTGTACGACCCCAATGTGGGCGGTACATTTTTGGGGTTGCTGCTGCTCTATCAAGGGGAGACGTGACCTCGTTCAACTGTTTGCCCTCTTGCTTCCATGTTTTCCCATTCTGGTCACTTCTGGGCTGTCTGGACATGCTTGCCTCTACCTCAGTACCAGATAATTATGAATGGCGCAGTCTTCGCGAAGCCACAACAACTGACGGAACGCATTGACTCCTTGTTTGTGCCCGCTACTCTACGCTCTGCTGCTGTCCATTTCCTTTCTCCTTGGGACACAGATGTCTCATCCCCTATCGGATGTGGTCCCATGGATCTTCGGGAGGCTAAGAGGGACGCCCTCATTGTATTGCGGCAGGAGCCGCCATTAGCATACACCGATGAGATTCACGCAGCACAATCTTTTGCCTTCCTCCATGTGAACTCGTCCAACCCGTCAGTTCCAAATGCTGGTGGTATGAATCCTACTCCACGTTCAGACTAGTTTTCCCCCCCACGTTCTTATCCATTTCCTTATCCTGCTTTCAAGTGGCGATGGGGATTTGCAGAAACAGCAGCGAGAAATGGGCAACTAGGTTTTACCTGCACGATGTAGGTCAGATGCAGGTCCACGCAGCCACAACATCAACAACACCCTTCCATGTAAGGAAAACTTTCTGAACACAAAAAGAGCTCAGTGCAAGCCTGCAGTTGTGCCTGTCGCTTGTCGTGTCCCTGCAGCATCTCTGCAAGATGCAAGGGTGTCGAGGAGTTTCAAAAGAAAGCGGCAACTGGCGACGGCTGGAAGGGGAAGCGATTAACTCTGCAGTCTATGAAGATAACGGGAGACTCGTTGAAAACATAGACAAACCAGTTGCAGCTGTTTGGAAGCCTCACGAGAATTGTTGACAACGCAAAGATAAGCTTGTGCAGCACTCTCATGGGAGAGGTGTGAGACTGACAGATAATTCATTGTGTGTTAGGTATCAGCATCAAATGCACGAGATACGGGGAACAAACAAGACGAGAGCATCACAGGGTTTGTTAAGTTCAACTTAGGATTCGGCTGGTTCCTGCGGGCCGTCTTTGTTCTTCTTCTTCTCCTTTTCCTTCTTTTCCAACTTATCTTTGTTGGACTTTTCTATTTTGTCATGCTTGTCATTTTTGTCTCCTTTTTCGACTTTGTCATACTTGTCGCCTACTTTTTCTGTTTTTTTGATCGCCTTAGGAACCCCACTGGAAGTTTCGTTATCTTTGTTCATTTGGGTTGACAGCTGTTTTTCTACTTTTTCAGACTTCTGCTGTTGCTGTTGACCACCTGCAGCAAACACTAGGGGAGCGGCTTCGGGCTCATAGCGGAGGCGTACTGTAGAGGGATGAGGTGGTGCACAAGCGCGAGGTTTGTGCTTAAGTTTAACCAGCACAGCGGGTTGCCTCTTGCTAGGCAGTTCCACAGGTTGGGGTTCCTCAGGTGTCAAGACAGTGCGCTCTCGGTATTCCAACTCAAACGGGCGCAAAGGAACTTCTGTCAACTCTAGTGCCACGTCGTACAACCCATACTCATACCACCCGCAGCCTCCATCCGGCGGCGGCCTCCTCATGCTGCGAGCTCTTGAGCGGGAGTACAAGTCTTTGCACGAGACAGAAGCCCTTCCCGCAACGCCAGGAAGGGCGCCCGCTGGGGTAGGCAAGCTACGAAGGTCTCCAGACCCTAACGAGGAGCGCACGGCCATTTGCTCCAATTAACGTGACCCAAAGCAAAACTGAGCTAAAACTCCTACAAGTGTTCGAGGACCCCCGCTAATTCCCCAGGTGACCTAAAACAGAGACCAGGTTACGCACAAGAACCAACCGTACTCGCTAATATCGATGTATCTGTATCTTCGGCAGCCAAAGGAGCCACGTTTTGGGGTTTCACCGCGCTCTGGAGGCAAGTACAGTATGGCCCATGGGGTCACAGGTATATTTGGCTTGCTACAGAAATAACAAAAATGCAGCACACAAGGTTGAGGATGACCTTACACCTTGATTGGTGGTCTGCCGTGCAGCAGTAGGCAGATGCACAGCCCCCTAACAGTTGCATGCGCGCCCATGGCGGGAGCTGTAGAGCCCTTCCAGATTTGCTCGAGAAGTCATTGTAGGATGGATGTACAATTTCTGCCACTCTGAGTTAAATGTACACCAGCAAGGTCACTCCACACAACAGCAGCAACATTATCGCCTCCGGTGTATGTAAAGTAGGTTCTAAGCACGGCAACAGTAGTTGACGCAGATAAAATCTTCCGTGTATGGACTGAAAACAGGTGTTGGTTACTTTAATTTCACTCTTTTTCTGCTTTTTACAGTACTTATTTAGACACATAGCTGGGGTGGGTTGCCGCTGCACCCCCAGCCCAGCCCCGTTGTCCTGCGGTCGGTCGAAGCATGTAGGACAGCTGAGGCACAGATATACCAGGATTTGGCTGCTATTTCTCTCTGTGTATTTAGAGGGAAAGCATCACAATATAATTTTGCCCAAGCAATGCTCGGCTTTTTGGAGGAAGCGCAGCCGAATTCTGTATCTTTGTCAGCCACGCCTTCCCACTACAGCAGGATTGGTCTCGCCGGTGTTTGAACTTTGTTTGGCTCTTCCGGACGCAATATTTTTATTGTGCCTTTCAACGTAACAGCGCACGGTTTCCCGGTTTCCTGCAATAAGCGATCTTCCATTGCTTATTAGTTAGTAGCATGCCGCCGCTTTTGCTGGAGCTGTGCGGCACTGGTCCTAAGATCACCTTCTCTTTTGTGAGTCCTTCTTGTTTCCTCCTTGCCGCATGACAGAGGTGAAGGGAGTGTCGGCATCTCGAGGCGGCGCGACCACAGCTCTTGTGCAACGGTCGCACCCTCCTCGTGTCTCGCTGGAAGAGTCCCTAAGCAAGGAAAGCGCTAAGAAGAAGACAGCCTGCCCTCGTGGGGAGGAGTGGCCGCGCGTGCTGGTGACGGTGGGAAGCACTTCGTTTGACGGTTTGGTGGCTGCTACGGAGTCGGCTGCCTTTTTAGATGCGCTGCGGTGTATTGGCAGGGTGGCGTTAACTGTGCAGGTGGGGCGCGGGAAGAAGCTTCCCTTCGGCATTTCTTCAGAGTGCGCAGAGCTGAATGCTGATGGGGTGTACGCAAATCTGGACGGGTTTGCCAGTGTGCGGGTGGTGCGTTTCCTACCTTCTCTGTCTCGCCTGCTGCCCGACTTCGACTTAATCATTTCGCATTGTGGGGCCGCTACGCTACTAGAGGCACTGAGGGCTTCCCGCCGGGTGGTGGCTTGCGTTAACCCTTCTCTCCTCCACAACCATCAACTGGAGCTAGCTGTCCAGCTAGCCAAGGAACAGCATTGCGTGGCGCTGGATTGCCTCGTAGACCTCCCGAGAAAGACGCTCGAAGCCTGGAGGCGTCCTCTACTCGGTGCCCCACAAACCCCACCACCATCAGCAGCAGCAGGGGCAAGAACAACCGGGGACAGGGATATTCTCAAGAAGCCCTTGCTGCCGCTGCCTCCTCCTAATCGTGGCCGATTTGTTGCAATGATAGAGGAGGAGGTGACGGAGGACATGGAGTCAGAAATATAACAAACTGCGGCAGCTTTCGCTGCAAACAGACGGACACTGCAAACCCTAGATACAAGCCCGAGAGAAGTGTCCAAGAGAAGCACACGAATGAGACGCCTTTGAGGGTAAGCAAGGCAGCAGCAGCAGCATCAGCACCAGCACAAATGCTGCTTCCAAGCCCTATCCAGCGGCTGACAACCCCCCTGGGCTTTGGCTCCCGCAGCCTGCTTTTTGTGGGAGATGGCAACTGTCTCCTTTTAGGTGACGAGGGCGGTTTTGTCTCACTTTTTAGCCTGAAGGCCCGCAGAGCTCTCTCTGTAGTGTCTCCTTCGCATAAATCCTGTCTCCCGCTTGCCTCTCTAGCCAACCCCAGCAGTGCTGCTGCATCCGCTAGCAGCACCGGCAGCGGCACCAGTTCTTTGCTGCACATTGAGCCAGTTGCCAACAGCAGCAGCAGCAGCAGCAGTAGAGTGCTGTTGCAGCAAAGGGACTCTCTCATTTCTGTCTTTGATCTACAAGCAGAGAAGTTTACGGGGTCGTTCAGAACTGGGGCCTTTTCCTTCTGCAAGTGCGCAGCTCCGCGACGCTGCAGCAGCAGCGTTGGTAGCAGCAGCAGCAGCAGCTTTAGTCTAGAGTGTTTGGCAGCTCCTGTAGGGGAGTTGGAGAGTGCGGGTCTGTTCGACTTGCGGGCACTGGGGCCTTGTAAGGATACGAAGGGAATTGTGTTACCGGCTGTAGAGTTCCGTCTGAAGAGAAACAGTGCGACCGAGGCTCTGTTTAGGTGCCTTCTGCAGGAACAACAGCAACAGCAACTGCAGCAACAACACCAGCAGCAGTTACAGCTGCCGTCGGACTTGTCGAGTTGTGGGACTTTGCAGTGTGTAGGTTTCGTCTCCTCTTCGCCGCTGTTGCTGACTGCGTACGAGCTACCGGTTGTAGCTCTGTGGGATATGCGCAGCAGCAGAGTCCCTCTTTCCTTGATGCTGCTTCCACCCTCAGACTCCCCTCCTGCTCACCTCACTGTAGCCGGAAGCCGCGTCTGGGTAGCATGCATTGAAGGGCCCCTCTCCCTCCAGCGCGTCGCCCGCAGCAGAAGACGGAAAACGGATGCATCAGCTGCAGTAGCAATGGCAACGGTGGCAGGACGCAGGAAGGAAAGAGAGAAAGAAGCAGGAGAAAGCAACGCAAACAGCATATGCAGCGACGGGAGTGTGTCTCTCGTGCCACTGGCGCAGGTTCGTTCCTTTGGAACCACCAGCAGCAGCAAGGGGAATGCTTCGCTGGATGCCTTCGAGGGGAGACACCCGCACGTTGCGTCTCTCGCTGTTCGAGCGGACGGCTTGGTGGGTGCATGCGGCATGTCATATGGGGCTGTTGAGCTGTTCGAAGGAAAGGGATTAAGGACCCTGGGGGCCCTCAAAGCACACAATTCCCCTGTTGCTGCTGTTACCTGGTGCGTCAGCACAGGGTACCTCGGGTCTGCTGACAAAGAGGGCGTTGTATACCTCTGGAGTGTATACACAGACACCTACCAAAGCCCAAGTTGCAGCGAGAGTAGTTCACTGTAGAACTCACATAGAGCCACTTGCGAGGACAGAAGCAACACCCCAAACGGTAAACGCCAAACCCTAAACCTTACGACCGAACACTTTAGTGCCCCGGACTCGCACTCCGCGGCAATGAGCGGCGGAGGCGGGAGTCTGTGAGGAAGCAACTGATGGTGCCTTTTTTAGAGACCCTTGTTTTCACAGATACCTGGCTGCTTGTAAAGGCTGTGGCAGTGGGGCATACAAGTGCTCATTGCGACAAAGAACACCAAGTTACTGGCACCCACTCCGCCATTTCTATGCCAACGGAGACATGAGAGAAAATACCGGAAAAGCGAGCACAAGGCTGCTGCACATCTACCGGATATGCCAGACTGTGAGCACGCAATGTGCAACGAGACACATCTGTGTTAGAAAGTAAGCGAATAGCCTCCTTGAACACCTCTACAACCTCTCCTCGCGTCAAGGGAAGTCTCAAATCCTAAACGCCGCGGGGATCCATCACCTGGGAATATGGTGAGCTATCTGGTGTCGTGCAGGGGTGTCTGGAGGCGTATGGGTTCCGAAGTAGGATGTGGTGACAGCGGTTTCTACCTATTGGAAGGCCCGCTGCTGCCTTTTCTGCTGTAGGCGGACTCCTACTGCTGCACATTGTTGTTTCGTAGTGTAAAAATCGTGTATCCGAAGTCAATCTGAGATTTCACCAACCGGTGACAAGGTGTTATGATATGGAAGGGAAAGACAGCCGACGTTTCAGAAAGTGGCATGCTGTCAGCATGCAAAAAATTCAAATAATTTAAAAATAGTTGCAAAACATATGGTGCATAGAAGCATACTAATATATATATATATATATATT